CAAAGATTTAGTTGAGTAAAGCAATAGAGATTATAAATAAGAGATCCAATAAGAGAGAGTCCATTAAAGCATCCACTCAATGATCAACAGTGAGTATTTCATTATCATCTCCACCTCTCTCTTCCTGAACATCTATACCTCTTTCATGTATGACAATTTGTGTTAGATCTTCCAGAGATCCAGCTATCTGAGAGTGCTCAGCAAGTACACTTTCTTCATCCAATTGAGCTTCAAGGTCACTGTCAGCAATGTCACTTGTTATAACATCTCCTTCAGAGCCTGATTGAGTCTGGTCACTTGAATTGGATCCAAAGTGAAGTGATGATGTGATGCTTTTCTCCCAGGCTTCATCTAGGCGAGCATGGCCAGCAGCAATACATTCAAAAAGAAGTGTTGGTGCAATGCCCTGCAAGTAAGATGTTTAGTATAGTATGTCAACTTAAAGAGAAAGTGATATATACATACTCTTGCAATTGCAGCTACAATATCAGAATAAAAGAACATGACACTGTCTGTAGCAAAGAATGCAATATACATAATCAAAGATATAGAGTAGAGTGCTGAAGACTCTATTAAAGCCTCAATAATGTGGTAATATACACCTTTCCTGTCTCCCACTTGTTGAATGTTTCTTCTTGTAACAGACTATATTTGATATATAAGAGCAAGGTACACCATAATGTTGCAGCCAATGTGAAACATGCATAAAGTGCTGAATCATGTAATGTGGACCGATCACTGCCTGTCATGACATACTGTCCATATACATAAATGATTTTAAACACTGAAAAACTTAAGCACAAAAGAAAGTGAGAGATATATTTCCACACCAGTACCAGCAACCAGACAAAGTGTAGGAAGGAGTACAATTTGCCAGTGCTGTCTCCAGACCATCCAGCAACACCAAATCTAAATCAAGGGGGTACCAATATGAAAAGAAAAAAAAAACATGGAGTCAATTAAAAAATTTTGTGCATCAGCGCTGGATCTACCTACCTCCATGTGACCATTATGACATCATCTCACCTATTTTGGGCATCTTCTGCCATAATTTTCCTTGTACCTTGCCAGATATAGCTGTATTTTGAATACAATTTGTATGTCATCATGTCCAGTCAGCAGGATCATTTTGGCAGTGCTCACCAACACCAAAGATTGTCTGTCTACATGGCTCAATGTGATGTCCCAAGGTTTGATAAGTATATTTTGTATCATAAATGAGTAATATATTGTGCTAAAAGTCCATTTTTAGGCCCCCAAAAGGGTGGTCAACTTTTTTTTTTCAGGCCTGACAGCCCAGCCTACCTACCTACCTGGTGTGCCAGGCCAACATTCTGGCACCCCCTTGATCTAAATTCTGGTTAGATTCAATTATCTATCAGAGTCTGCAAGAACAGTGCAGATCCCACTGACAACACCTGATGGAACTGTTGTTATATGATGATGGCTGCACCGTTGGTATATAGTCCAAAGGTTCATTCCTTGGTCAATAAATTCAGAATACAGGTTTGACCAGTTAAAGGCAAAATTGATAAGAGTCAGGAGATAAAGGAGAATAATAACAGTGTCCACAACTCTTGAATTGGACTGTGACTTGTTGGTAACTGTGAAGAATTTCAGTTCAAGGAACACAGAGGACAAGGCCTCTCACAAATATTCCAAAAGGTAACAGCAATAACACCAGTGTATATGCCTATGTGTCATGTGTAAGATGAGACATAAATACCTCCTGGAGTTGAAAGAACATGCACACCATTTAATAGTGAGAAGAAGATTATTCAATTCAATTCAAAATCAAGCTGATGAGATATGAATGCTATATCACTAGCAGTAAGATCTGCTGGGATTTCTGTATGAGCAGCCATCAATGACCACTGAAGCCTGCTTATATAGAGAAAGAGAGTTGGATGTGAGAATGATACAGAATTATGCTCCTCATTATATGCAAGCATCACAAAATCACATGGCAAAAAAGATGATGGCTGTTCCCAGAAGATCATATTGTGTACCATGATGAAGAGGGGATTATTTGCTAACATCTATGCATATGGTGTACTGAATTAAGAACCTTCAAGGTACAGAGATAAAAGGCATCCAGGGAAGTACCAGCATGATTGTTAAAGGGGATACCAATGCAGTTCCAGAACTCAGGATTGAGGAGAGTATTGCCTAGTATTATGTTCAAGGATTGGTCACCTTGTAAACCAATAGAAGTCATCCATCACAACTTCAGTCATTGTAACCAAGTCCTTGTATACTCAGATGCAAAAATATGAACTGTTCTTACACCTATCCTTTTTGGATGGTATTTGGATGGAAACATGCACCATTAAATATGCTGTAGAATCAGGGCTAATACACCATTATATGAACTATGAATGTTGCAGGTACTGATATGATCTTGCTATGGTGTACCTAAGCCTTAATCAAACCACATAAACATATACTTGATTCATGCAAAATGTGAGCTGGCAGCACAACCACCGGGGGAGCTCTTTACATACATACAAATATCTGTATCTTGATTATGTTCTATCGCGGTTGAGTCTCTTGCCAGTACTAGCTAGTAAACAGTTACACAAAAATGATGAAACTCGTAAGGTAAAGAATCAGAATGCATAGCCACGATGTTTCAGGTGACCACACAAGTTGCGGAACATTTATCTCTCAGACAAAGTACACAAAGTAAGAGTCTCTCGAGCAGCCAAAAAACTTGAACGACATTCTTATGAGGCACCAAGGGAAAGCTCGTAGCTGTATATAAACGTTAGACGTTGCAAACAAAGGAAAAACACGGGGACACATACGTCGTTGTGACATTCTCCTGTTTGAGCCCGGTAACATCCAGCGGGATACCCAATTTCCCGAAAATAGTCGCGGCCCTACAAATCATCAGCATCCCAATCGTCAACGTCAACACCGTCCAAGACCCACCGTAAATTGACATCGGTATTAAGCAAATCCAAAAATCCCAACGGGATGATGTCGAGCGATGCCGCCGCGCCTTGGGTGAGCAACACGTTCTTTATCGTGCCTGAATCCGCGGTACCGAAGATGGGCACGACGAGGGGATCGGAGAAGGTGTGGTCGAAGGAGGCGTATTCGGTGGAGTTGATTCCGGCGGAACTTGTGACGCGCTCGAGGGTGAGCTCGATAGGGAGAGGGTTCTTCACTGTTCGGGTAGGTGTTAGGGAGAAACGGTAGGGATGGGAAGAGATCGCACCGGTGAATGCGATGCTACGTTTATTGAAGGTCAGTTTGGATATGGCGCAAGGGAAAGGACGACGTACTCAACAAGGTTGTTGACGAGTGTGTCCAGCTACATAAATGTCAGCTCCAGATATCGATGAAGCTGACAACGCAAACGTACAGTGATAGTCACGCTAATGTTGGACACTAAGCCGATCCCAAGCCCATTGATGATGTCCCCAATCGAAAGATCGGTCGAAGTGGGGGCGCAACGGACCAAGGCAGCCAGGGAAACGAAAAGAAGACCGAACAACATTACGCGCGGACGAGGGGGGCCTGTACTGAATGCATCCAAGTTATAGGGAGCAGAATGGACCGTATGACGCGACGAAGCCATGTGAAATCGTCAGATGATACGAGAGCGTGTGGACCGTGTATCTTTTCCTGAGAATCTGAATGGCGAGGATCATTGAGAACCGGTCCAAGAAGCGAGAGATGCATGTGCAGCGCCTCGGAAGAAATATTAGAACAAAGTTTGCTTGCTGGAGGAGTAGAACTTTGAAAACTCGACGCAGGGCTGTTGCATGGTGGACGTACGAGAAAAGAGAACGCGAGCCTCGTGGCTGGCACGTTCCTGATTACCTCAGCACGCCGCCAACTTTGACCGCGGGTGGCAGTGTACCACGACGACTTCTTTGATCTTACGATGGGCCGCTGGACGCAATACGATGAAGTGAGTGACCTTCTTCATAGAATTCCCTCATGCTGAACTCTGCTAGGACTCATACCGCCTCCCAGAAGGCATGGAACGCATTGGCTACGACTCGGACACCCAAACGTACTTCTACCGCGATGCGAATGGAGACACCTGGAAAGGCGCAGAAGGCGCAGAATATAGCGAAATGACCCGTGGTGTGTACTGTTGAGATGTATATGTACTCCTAGCTGAGAAGCCACAGTATCCGGCGCTTCATCAAGCACCGAAGATATCGAAGCCGCCCCTCGTCGCGCAGACGGTTATCAACAGCTCGCTACTGACCTTGTACGTCGTTCTCGTCACTCAACCTCCCTTCCTCATTATTCTAGAATCGCCCTATGGTCTCCACGACCTACACCCCCAACCCCAGCGCCTACCGCACCCTCTTCCCCTTCTTCCTCATCATCGCCGTCGTTCTCCTACTCGTTTGGCGCCTCATCCTTTCCCCCGGCTTGTCCGTGCCGAAAAGCCCGTGTGCACAGGGTATGCAGGCGTATTGGGTCCAGGCAGGCGATTCGTGCTGGGAGATCGCGACTAGGCATGGGTACACTCTTGAGGAGCTGCAGGGCTGGAACCCGAAGGTGGAGTGTGAGGTGTTGATGCCTGGGACGACGGTTTGCTTGCCGGGAGAAAGCAAGTAGGAAAAGGGAGAGTAGGTATCTATTGTGGATCATTTGATGGATGGATGGATGGACGCGTCTCTCAATATTCATGTAGCTTATTCGCATGATCATTCTCTGTAATATTTAAACAATAGACTGTTATAATCTGCTACATCTGGTATTGCATCATCAAGGCTCGCTGTGATTCTCTAGGATGTTACTCGCTTCAAGTGGGCCGATGCCCAAAAGGTGGCGAGTGCGACGCGGTGAACTTTCCAAGCGGGAAGTATTTCGAGGTCTGACTATGAGTCCGTGAAGCCAGAAACGAGACCATAGAAGGTAGACATGGTAATGCAAAGGAGAGAAAGAACCTAAAGAATGTGAGAAATATCTGCCGCGGCTACAAGTCCAAAGTCGGGCGTCGTAGGACTGTATATTTATTCTTCTTTTATGGGGGCATAGCTCAGCTGGGAGAGCAACAGACTGAAGTGTGTTGATTTCTGGAGGTCCCCGGTTCAATCCCGGGTGCCCCCACTTTTGGTGCTTTATGATGCTTTTTTACGATGCAGCCGCCAGCGTGCTCAGTGCTCACTGCTCACTGCTTACTAGTAACTACTTAGAGTCTAGTATCTATACAGCTTCAAACTAAGCACTTCAAAGTAGTACAGAGTAGCTACTAGCCAGGACTTAGAAGTTTATCATAATAGGGAGCTGAGACTTGCAGCACGCCTTTCGGCCTTTTAATATTTCGTACTGTACTTATTCCCAGGTGCTCGATTCCTGAGTCCTTCATATCACAAACCTGTATCATCGTTAGTTCATAGGCTGAAATTACCCTCGCTTTACCGCCACCCTATTACGGACGTTTGATAATTGCCTGATTGCGACGGATTGGTGACGGAGCCTTTCGAAAATCAGTAGATATATTCGGTCTCAAAGTGTTTGCTGCAAGCTGTACTAAATCCAGGCTGCAAGATTAGAGAATGTGTAGTAACAATATTGTGCGACGGGTTCTTGACATGGATCGAAACAGGTCAAGAAGTTGAATGATATTTTTCTGAGAACGTATGGCTTGTACAAAGTAACACCGAATCTGAGGAGTAGGAAAAATGGTGGGATATTTGAGTCGTACATATGAGTAGGGAGCCTAGAGAACTACAACAGTGGAATGATGGAAGTGAGAATCGTGACGCGGGGAGTTAGAGAAGGAGACTACATGGAGGAATTTCTATACAAGCACGACGGTGGTGCCGATGGATACGTGGGTTAGTCTAGGAAGACCCCGACGCCTCACCGGAGGACCCCTCAGATGAGGGAGACTGGCTGCTCCTACCGGTGCGTTTGCGAGCACGTCTACCTTCCGGATTGGTGATATCGATGGCCCAAAGACCGCCTCTTCCAGGTTCGGTCACAGTACGCCCCATATTCCTGAAAAGATCGTGAGAAGACAAAGCGTGCTTGAGTGTTTCCTGTCAACGAATGAATTATCAGTTCCTTCAGCCGTCAAGAGCAACATTTGGACGAACCTTCAAGGTACCCTCGTTCTGTTGGAAAAACTCAAAGCGCGCGACAAGCGCAGCTCTGATCTCAGCCGTGGAAGCCTTTTGGTGGGGGTGACTGTAGATCGCGGCTGCAGCCAGTTGGATGATGGTGTAAGGAGGCCTTCCAGCCCTGTCGCGCGGATTAGTGAGGTTTTCAAGACGGACTGGGGTCCCGCGTGGAAGATTGAGGAACTCCCGTAGGTAATCGCCGGGTTCGGGTAAGTCGTATTGGGTATCCGCCCTTGCGAGGAAGGGTGTGGAATCGGGGGATTCGCGTTTGGGGATCGCTTGGGGGGACTGCTCGAGAGTGTGTCCGCGGTAGTACCGCGGTCCGGGATCCAAGGACGCGAAGGGGGATGGAAGGCCGGTTACTGCAGTGACGTATCCGGGGGGATAGGGTGCAGAGGTGGACGGGTATCCGCTGGGAGGTGAGCTCGATCCACGTTGGGAAGGGACAGCTTCGTAGCCCTGAAATTATTGTTTAGATGAGTTCAACGTTCATCTATTGCCGTGATGTACTCACCGTGCCGCGAGAGTATCCCGAAGCGTCGTAAGTACGCGCCGGTCCCAGTTGTCCTTCATGTCCATAGACCTAGAGAAGTATTATCGCGTAAGCCCGACAGATATTTCACGTCTTTTATAAGAACACACGTACAGGCTCGGGAGAGCGCGTCCACATCTCATCTTGGGCGGGACTACCTGATCCGGACGCCTCTGGGGAACCCTCTTGACCGGGAGACGGCGCCAACGGAGGCGAGTCAGTACCCTGGATTTTGACACCTCCACCGGAGCCGGGCATAAACGGCTGGTCCTCGTCTTCTCCGGCCCTCGCATAGGAACGAGGAATGGGAGGGTGACGGGACCTGGGGCCGCCATAGGAGGACCTAAATTGGATATGGGAAGCAGGATACCCGGAATACATGGTTCCTAGTATCAAAGCTTAGGTCAGTCGCGTGGATGGATGCCGTAGACACGTACAATGATGTCCGTACAAGGCTGAATGTAAGAGAGGAGATTGGGAGAAAGAGTAGCAGATGCTAGAGCGGTGTTGTGGGACCACTGTTGGGGACATACCGTGCCCCCACAGCTGGCTTTTATACCGATATGACCAACATCTTTTGGGCACTCCATACATGGCTATGTCCACGAATTGGTTTCGAGCCGGTATCCGACGATTGGCTCCGAGCAGTTTTTCTTGATAAGCTGTTCGAAAATATACCCTATCAAAAAGTTGATGAGAAGGACACGAGGCAACACTTTCCGGAGATGGACGATGTTGTTGGGGTTCGTTGGTGCATATGTACATCGCCGAGTTGCCGATGGTGAGATAGCCATATCTGTACCTTCCTGTCAAGGTAATTTCGTTTGGAGGAGAAGTTGGAGTTTGTCGTCCGCGGTGGAAGAGCAGGCTGAGCCAGAAAGAGGCTTGACGTGAAGAAAAAGATGAATAGAAATACTGTGAAAACGAGGATACCCTGACAAAGTCCCTTGCAGCACCATTCTGCTTGACGAAGTGGGTCCAATTAAATAGTGGCGGTGATAGCAAGGCGTCCTTGCCGAAGTGGGGCCTCGTTCGCAAGCAATCCTAAGCGAGACCCGTGGTACCAGACCTTCGAAAGCTTCAACGCTCGCCTATTTCTGAAATTTGTGCTACGATTTTGTTGAAAGAATACCCAGGACTAGTTTCGTGAATTTAATGGATATGTGGTAACAAAGGATGTTACGAACCGTGCTGAGCCAGTGCTGCGAGAACAGAAGTGTTGAACTGATAGACGTTGAGAGCTTTGACGGGTTAGACCACTAATTAACATGAAAAGGGCCCTCATCGCGTCAATCTACCTCTGCATATCTGTGCTGGGTGCTGGGCCATTGCCTCTGTGTTGGACATTCTGCGTACGTGTCGTAGTTGTTGATCAAGGCCGAGTCGGCCCGAGAGTATCCGACTGCAAGCACGCGTACATAACGCGCCTGTGGCGCACCGTCGCATAAAACAAATAGGCCTGTCTACTCTCCACCTTGAGCTAGAAAATATTACAGCATAAATGGCAACTCGATGCGCTTCAATTCCAGCTTTGCACATCCAAGGAGTACGGTATGCCTAGTTAAGACTGATCCACTGGTCCAACTCTTCCCCTGAGATACAAGCGCAAAGGGTATGGTGCAATGGTCAGGACCAACACTTGGTTTCATAAAGTCCTAAGTTTAAGGAGACAACGTGGGCCAAATCAAGTAGGATTACCGATACCAATCATTCCACAACTAGCTCGGCAACTATGTTGGCTACCTCCTTTTTGCTCATGTCCTCTGATACAGGACTCATAGGATCCAACGTAGGGAATGGGACCCGTGAACCAGTAGATGCCGCCATATTTTGGGAAGTAGTACCATATCAACGAGAAAATCGTCACACCTCCCAGCACCACTACGGAGTAGTTCATGTCTTGTACAGTCGTTTGAGGAGTCGTAGGGAACATGAATACTACGCTCGTGAATGCCATAACAGTACAGCTATCAGCGCGATCGGAAGGCTCTATACAATTGAAAGGTCGTCAGAGATATGTAGAAATCAATACGATTCACGGAAGACTAACGAAAATTCCAAGATGAAATGGTCCAGGCTTGAAGTCGTTCTGTCCAATAAAGCGGGCAGCGATCGGGATGCTGTATGCGACGTATAATGAAATGACCGGATATGGAAAAGACCGCGTTGATAGCATTCTCCCCAGCGAAAGAGAGTAAGCCTAGTAATATTGCGAAACCGGCGTCGAAAATAACAGTGTTAACCGGCGTTTCCGTGTAACCGTTCATTCGATATAACCAATTGGAGAATGGAAGGGCTAGCATAGGATATGTGAGTCTAATCTTAAGACGTCCATGATGAGAATATCATACCTCGATCTCTGCTAAACGCGTATGTCTGTCTGCTGGCTGCTAAAAGCTAATGAATGAATGTCAGAAAATTATTCTGCTTTACCAAGGATGTGCTTACAATACTGGACCCCATCATGTACCTGCCAACGTAAAGTTAATGTCGCAGTGAGAGAGATGAAAGGGTCGACGCACTGTACCAACACAATAATTGCCCAGATACCTAACGTCCCTTTCTGCCCAAAACCGTTGAACAGAATCTGCGCCATAGGCTGGGCACTATTATATATCGCCTGAAGATCCGAGCCCATACAGAAAGCAAGGGTCATGTTGATTGCTGTAGATTCAACGTGAGTATGAATTATTAGTATTCGCAAAAACGCATACCCCAGCCCAGCACTCCAGCAATGCCCACCGCCAATACGATTGCCCAAGGAACGACGGTAGTAGCATTTGACGCTTCCTCACTTATGTGGACACTGGAGTCGAATGAACCTACAACACGATTATTGATATGTTATTACATTTTGCCTTTGTAATGTAGGCGTACCGATAGTCCAAAGCGGTGCCAAAAAGCTCAATATGAATGCAAAGCCGTCTGTCCATCCGTTGACTATGCAAGAAATGATAAGCAGAGTATAAACCGAATCCCTAAGACAACGCACGATTGACAAATTCGCCCAAGGCAAAGTGTGCGGTGTTCTTAAATTCCGACGGAGTAACGATAGGCAGGGCGATAATAATTCCGAAACAGAGCCTGTCAACGTTATCGTATTGTAACATCAGAATGATGGACAGCGCTATCGGTAGATAAGAGAATAGGCCAGGATACGTACAGGACGTTGAGGGCGACGTAAACCGACTGCAACCTTGCTAAAACCGTTGTTCCTAGACAACAGCCCACGACATGAGTAAGACTTATAGCTACATATACACCACTGACAGGCATGAATTAAGAGTGCCGGAAAAGGAAAAAAACGAAGATGACGCACAAAAGCTGGGCGTTCGTTGGCTCAAAGCTTTGGTTATGGGATCCAATCTTGACCGCAGCCATGACTTGAACGGCGCATCCCCAGTTAATTGAAGCTACACCTGCTATAGATCCGATCGTGTTCATATCTAGGT